ATAACTAAGCAAGTATTAGAAGTTACCCCAGAAATGGCCCTACTAAACATCTTCCAAGACAATAACGCCCACTCACATCACAAAGAGCTCATAACCCACCTACTCTCAGCTGCTGGAAACATCATAGCCAGACACTGGAGAGACCTGTCAGGAGTAAGCATGGACCAATGGTACCAAATAGTATGGGAAATAGCCTTATTAGAAAAACTAACCAATGAACTGAAACTGACACGGGGATAAATAGAAGAAGACGCCTTCACTCTGGTATGACTCCCAACAGCATATGAATCAATATGGCTAACCTGATCCAAAACACCCACCCACCCCACTCACACATGAAAACAAAGACCACCTCAGCCAACCACAAACAAACAAGCACACCCTGGGCCAACCCCCAACCTCTCACCACCAAAGGAACACAAGCGAATAGTAGAGAACCCACACGAGTGACACTGACACAAAACCCCACACATACATTAAGTAAAATAGAAACTGTGAGGAGAACCAGAGATTTTAGGGTTAATAGCTCATGGAGTGACGGCCTGCCAGTGGGGGGGGGGGGTGTTCACATGGGGGGGGTCTGCTTTGTTATGTGAGCTTTTTACTTTAGGGTTTTTTTGCTACCATACAGGCTCTCTCTCCTGGCCTGTTTCACTGCTGTAAATAAAGCTTCTTAGATTAGGAAGAAGCTGCGTGCTGAGTGTGTGTTTTTTTGCATGCCTGAGATTCCTCCACACAGAGCACACACCGCTGATCGCAACACTGTGCTACACGTCTGGAGCGGAGCTGAGGCGCAGCTGAAGTGTGCCGGGTGTTCAATTCCAGAGGTTATGGCTGCATAACACAACAGAAACATTGTCACCCCACCCCACCCCCACTCACCATGCCCCCTCCTCTTTCCCCATTTTCTTCCTAATTCAACACTAAGGTCTCAACAGAGGAAACTGATCTGTAGAAAATGTAACTTGAAAAAGGAGAAATTGCACATACTTTTGTAAACCAAGAAATAAAATATGTTGTGTTTTTTTCAAAAGAGAGGGATCCCAGCCCAGAGTCCGGCTGCTGCATTGGGGACCAGTTTCCCAGTGTCTCCCAGGGCAGCTCCCCACAGAGGCCACTGCAGCAATCCCCTCGCACCCAGAGCAGGGCATCCCAGGACCACATCCTCTCTCTCCCAAAGGGATTGTTGCTGGCAAAGCAGCCGGAAATGGGCGCTGCTACTCCCTGAGCCTCCAGGGACCTGGGCATCCGTGACTGTGCGTGTGTTTTAAGCTATCTAAGAGAATAATAATAATAATAATTAATCAGCTGCCTAAATTTCAAGGGAGATGTCTTTGGCCCCGTCCACTTGGCCCTCAGGGGTTTGCCAGATACGTACGTCTTGCTGGCCTTCTCCCACTTTGGAACAAGCTGCCTCAAGTGTCCACATGAGAGTCAGAGGGGTCAGATAGAATCGCAGGATTGCAGAGTCGGGATGTACCCCAGGGGTCATCTAGTCCAACCCCCTGAAAGGCAGGAATCACAGCAAAAGACTCCCTGACGTATAGATGGCTCTAGGTGATGGCTTCTTCTTGTGGTTATCAGCCTCTAGGAAGGCGACATCTTTTTATATGGTCTATAGAGATCTTGCTCTTCCTGCCTGGGTGCCTCCATTCCTAGTCTTTGCTCTCTAAGGAAAGATGGAGCAGGAATTTCTATCCCTTTTAATCTTGTGGAGTTTTGAGGAAGCCTCCAAAGGAACATCGGAAGATGCCTTCTGCTGAGCCCAACCAAGGGCTCCCTCTAACCCTGTATAGTCCACACTGACTGGCAGCAGCTCCCCCCAGTTTCATCCAGCCCTTGCGGGAGATGCCAGGGACTGACCCGGGGACATTCTGCAGGCCAAGCAGATGCTCTGGGTTCCCCATATTTCACTAGCCTTTCAACAACAAAAATTCCTTCCAGTAGCACCTTAAAGACCAACTAAGTTAGTTCTTGGTATGAGCTTTCGTGTGCATGCACACTTCTTCAGATACACACATGCACACAAAAGCTCATACCAAGAACTAACTTAGTTGGTCTTTAAGGTGCTACTGGAAGGAATTTTTTTTGTTTTGACTATGGCAGACCAACACGGCTACCTATCTGTAACTAGCCTTTCAACGTTACTCTATTAGCAATCGTGGAGATTCCACCTGCCTCTTTCCACAGAGTACTGTGGTTGTTAATATTTATTAAATTACCTGGAGTATTGTGTCCAGTTCTGGGCACCACAGTTCAAGAAGGACACTGACAAACTGGAACGTGTCCAGAGGAGGGCAACCAAAATGGTCAAAGGCCTGGAAACAATGCCTTATGAGGAACGGCTAAGGGAGCTGGGCATGTTTAGCCTGGAGAAGAGGAGGTTAAGGGGTGATATGATAGCCATGTGCAAATATATAAAAGGATGTCACATAGAGGAGGGAGAAAGGCTGTTTTCTGCTGCTCCAGAGAAGCGGACACGGAGCAATGGATCCAAACTACAAGAAAGAAGATTCCACCTAAACATTAGGAAGAACTTCCTGACAGTAAGAGCTGTTTGACAGTGGAATTTGCTGCCAAGGAGTGTGGTGGAGTCTCCTTCTTTGGAGGTCTTTAAGCAGAGGCTTGACAACCATATGTCAGGAGTGCTCTGATGGTGTTTCCTGCTTGGCAGGGGGTTGGACTCGATGGCCCTTGTGGTCTCTTCCAACTCTATGATTCTAGGATTCTAGGATTCAAAGGAGAAAACTCACCTGTTTAAAGAATTTGAGGTAATGCATCATTTGTATACTTTTTTTGAGTTCTGTTTTCAGTGTCCCTGAGATCTCTTGATGAAGGGCGGTATATCAATTTAATAAATATTAACAACCATCCATTGTTAGTCCCCTGAATTTGCAATGAAGTGTATTGGGGGGGCCTCATTTAATTTCACTGCAGACAGGTGGTGTAGTGATAATAAAGGTTTATTATTATTACTGTTCTCGAAGCTATGAGAATGAGTTTGACCAAACTGCGGGAGGCAGTGGAAGACCAGAGTGCCTGGCATGCTCTGGTCCAGGGGGTCACGAAGAGGCGGACACGGCTAAACGACTAAACAACAGCAATTATTACTGGAAGGAGAAATGGCATACAGTGGTACCTTGGGTTATATACACTTCAGGTTACAGACTCCGCTACCCCAGAAATAGTACCTCGGATTAGGAATTTTGCTTCAGGATAAGAACAGAAATTGTGCTCTGGTGGCACGGCAGCAACGGGAGGCCCCATTAACTAAAGTGGTGCTTCTGGTTAAGAACAGTTTCAGGTTAAGAACGGACCTCCGGAACGAATTAAGTTCTTAACCTGAGGTACCACTGTAAAGGTAAAGGCAAAGGGACCCCTAACCATTAGGTCCAGTCGTGACCAACTCTGGGGTTGCGGCGCTCATCTCGCTTTATTGGCCGAGGGAGCCGGCGTACAGCTTCCGGGTCATGTGGCCAGCATGACTAAGCCGCTTCTGGCGAACCAGAGCAGAGCACGGAAATGCCGTTTACCTTCCCGCCGGAGCGGTACCTATTAATCTACTTGCACTTTGAGGTGCTTTTGAACTGCTAGGTTGGCAGGAGCAGGGACCGAGCAACGGGAGCTCACCCAGTCACGGGGATTTGAACCGCCGACCTTCTGATTGGCAAGTCCTAGGCTCTGTGGTTTAACCCACATCTATTTACATCCTTGCCAAAGTTCAAGGATTCTCGCTTGAGGCCGAAGTCTTCTTCTTGAGCTTCTGCCGCTCAATCCTATCTCTTCTCTCTCTTTCAACATGTTGGGGAGACAGGAGAACCTGCAGAGTCCATCGCTGCTGAAGGTCCGTGCCCAAACTTTCTTTTTGGGCTTTTGTCCTGAAAAGGCAGCTTCATGAGCGAGATGTAAAACAGTCTTTCTGTCTGTCTGGGGCACACACTTGGCTCACAGTCTGGGGCAGATTTCTTTGGAAAGAACTGTCTACAAAGCAACTCTTCCTCCCAGATGAAACTAATTCTTGCTTCAGTACCAGCCCTGGGGACCCCGGCACTTCTACATACTTCTAAAGTTGGGTCATTAAGCATTTCTTTCTTAAGGTCATTATCAAGCCATGTCAAGCTTATGATATTTTATTCTCTTTTTAATGACGGTATGCTGTTATAAATGTGCATTTTATATTTGACTTCACTTAGCAATGTTGTTTTTTTATAAAAAGTTTAAGGGTTTTTTTCTGTTAACCTTGTGTTAAATATGTATTCTGTAGTTGACCTTCTTTGTAATGTTTTATTTTGAAATTTTAAGATAATATTTTAGTTTTCTGTTAATTATGTTGTTTTGACTATATACGCTATATACAACTATATTTTGACATATTTTATTGATGTTTTAATATGCTGTAAACCACTTTCAGATTTTTCTTAAAAATATAAAGCGGTATAGAAATGAAAATAATGATGATAATGATGAAGGGGTGAAGGAGGAGTCCTGGTATTCTCACCATACTTTGCCAAGGAAATTTCTGGTGACTCAAAATCTTCACGAAACTGATTTACATTTCCAATGACAGGCTCCTCAACACATTGGCTGGATGATACACCAAAAGTTAACTCTTTATAGAGTCCGGCAACAGCTCTTTTTGCTGCTGAGCTAAATGCTATTTAAAAGCGAGATCATTGCTTACAAGGCAAGGTGTAAACATATCATTTTCATGTACTAAAACTGATAAGGACCCTTTAAAATCTTTGTATTCACAATCTACCTGGGCTAGACTGGTTTTTACTGCTTGGACCCCATAGGGAGTTCCAAACAACTATTTACCTTCTAAAAATTGGCCAGGCTGTAATAACCCCTGAGGAAGCATCAACCCCTGTGTCCTGTAACCCAACTATTAATATGTTATTAATTTTAATTTCATCACTGAATTGCACCTGAACCCATCTAGATTGACACAAGTCAATTAATGCCGTTCTCACAGAGGCCCAGTCTGGTGAACCATTGGTCACTTGGCCTTTCTCCTTCCTCCCATGAAGCTTAGACTGCAGCACACACACTTGTGCTGTTCTCAATATGCGACCTGCCCGCCATTTTCTGTCTTGCCGCAAGCTACCATCTTTCTTCCAGCTATCAATCATGCAAGACGTGGCAGGAGAGGTCCCCGGCTAGGCTCCTGGGGTGCTAGTCCTCAGCATAGACCTAGCTACTCACACCTTGAAAAGGTGTGATTCAGAACAGCAGAATCTCATAGGTTAGTTTTCTCAGTTGACAGCAACTGTGCATAGGAGCCAACTCCTAGGGGGCAGAGGTCCCTTGACCCTCTGATCACCCTGTGATCAATTATGCAGGGGGGAGCTTACCTGCTCCACCCTCAATATTTTGTTCAAGTTGGCACCCCTGTCACCATGAATGGCATGGAAGCAGCACCACATGCTGCCATGCTGTGCCCACACTGGTGTGGACCCCAGTCTTGCCCCCTGCCAAGCTCTGAAGAAATCGAGAACAGTTCAATGTGTTTGTTGCCAGTGTTAGCTCTATATGAGAGTAAGGGTGCCGGAATTTCCCAATGAGAAAGCCAAAGTTGTATTTGTGATTAGCCTGCTAGAAGGGGACACCAGGCACTGGGTGGCCCCCATTCTCATTGCTGTCAGAAAACAGAAAACAGGCTATGATTGGACCCTTCCATTCTCTATTTTTGTAGCCATCAAGATCTGAGCTTGCAGAAAAAGATCTTTTCAAGGTCTTTTCAAGGGGGCTGACGCCAAAGAGTCCCGCAACCTAGATGGCAGAGTGTGGATTGTGCATTAAAACAGTAGGGTGGGGTGGTGGTTTTGTGTAGAAATCATGGGATACAGTTTCATTCATCTTAAAGTGTCTTCTTAGAGCCAGGCATCATCAGGCACCTTCTTACAAATATACTGTATGCGTTGAGCACATTTAAATGCCATCCAGCATCCTTCGTAGTAGCAATCAAAGGTCATTCCACCACAGTCGTGGAGCGCTTCATAATTAGGCTCATAGTAATTCCAGTACCTGAAAAGAAAGAAACAGCAGCACTGATGAATCAAGATTGGATGTTTACTTCCTCACCTGCTCCCCATGCCTTCTACCATTAAAAAGATGTTCAGATCACTTCCGGGTTGGCGCCATCGCCGAATGGCGGATTCCCTCCGAGCTCCGGCGATGCGGAGACCCTCAAAAACCACGGGCGCGGAAGCCCGTGGACCTGGTGACTCGGCGGGCACCATTTGCGCCCCCCGACCTGCGAAGGAGCCTTTTTAAAGGCTACGGAGCGGGGGACGGGGAGCGGCGCGGTGCTGTGAGTCTTCTGCTTCCCCTGCCGAGCGAAGCCGCATGCCATTCGACGGAGAGCACTGACTTCTTCTTCTGAAAATTTGGACTAAAAACTAAAAACAACAACCTGTGAGTAATTTGGAAATTGGACTAAAAACTTTTTTGGATTCGGTACGAGCGGGGGAGGTGCAAAGAGGAAGTCCGTCTCCCCCCCATTGTAAACAATTTAAAGCAAGGATTTGACAACTAAGGTCGAAAGAAGAGCCTTTTCTTTATTGGATAAAAGTTATTAATTGCACGGATTGATAGTATAAGTAATTGTGCTGGAGGATAAGAGCTAACTTTCTGAGTTAAAGTGCCACCCCTCCCGGGACCGGGAGTGATCCGCGAGAGGAGCCTGCTGAGGAGACACAGAAGATTTTGACAGCTGTCAAATTAGCTGTCAAAGTCAGAAAAAATAGAGAACTTTATTTCTGATGTTCTTGCCGGTTACATTAGATACAATATAGTTACAAGTTGTTGAAAACAAAGAAGGACTGAAACAAATTAACTTGACTTTTGGGTTGGAAGTGAAAGGAATACTGAATAACCAGAATCCCTCTAGAGGGGGTTCAGGGACATTACAAGAATGGAAATAGGTCGGAAAATACTAGCTGACCTGGACGAGGTTGCTTTTCTCTTGGGAAAGTTGCGAAAGTTGCATGAGCAAGGTCATGTTTTGTCTACATGTGCCATAACTTTGAAGTTAACAGTAAATGTATCTACTGAGTTGGAAAAGGACTTGATGTACAAAACCCAGGCAGCTGAACAAGAAAAGAAATTAGAGAAAACTGAGGAAGTGGAGGAAAAGATATACGCTTAACAGAAGGAGCAGAAAGGAGGGGCTGCAATGCTGCAGAAGGCAAAGGTGAGCCGGAGGCCTGTCAAGATGGATATAAAAGAAAATAAGGACTGGATGAAGAAAATTTGGTTTGAATTTAAAAATGAGGAATGGAAAGATCTCCTTTTGTGGGGATCTGAAGATCTATGGACTATAAATTTGATCAAGGTGGAAGTTGGAGCCTTTGGGTTATTTGGACTTAAAAGGATTAAGAAACAAGATTTGAGCTCCACCTTTAAACATGGAGGTCTGGCTCGAAGGAACATGGGACATTATAGGGATAGTGCTCCTCCGAGACTTGGTGTTAAATATAAAGGACTTCCAAAGAAACCAGTTACAGATAGGTAGCCGTGTTGGTCTGCCATAGTCAAAACAAAAAAAATTCCTTCCAGTAGCACCTTAAAGACCAACTAAGTTAGTTCTTGGTATGAGCTTTCGTGTGCATGCACACTTCTTCAGATACACGTGTGTATCTGAAGAAGTGTGCATGCACACGAAAGCTCATACCAAGAACTAACTTAGTTGGTCTTTAAGGTGCTACTGGAAGGAATTTTTTTTGTTTTTGTCCAAAGAAACCGGCAGAGAGGGACTGAGAGAGATTTAAGGGCCTCAGACGTGAGGTTGCCAGGCTGATAGTAGATGGACTAATGGACAATGGTTCGGGGATCGAAACCGGGGAAGGGAGGGTGGGGTTTGGAAATCCAAAGGGAGTTTGATTTTTTCTATTTCTTTTTAACTTTGTGTTGTTATAAGTATAAAAATGGGGAATTCGTGGAAGGGAAACTGGGTCGACCTTAGAAAAAGTTTTTAAGCGTAAATGATTGATGTATATAAGTTAAAAGTTGATATATAAATTGAATTAAATATAATAACAAATTAAGGTTAAAAATATAATATAATAAATATAATAACAAATTAAGGTTAAATATTTAGGGATAAGAACTTGTTGGATAAATATTTGGACATGGAATACAAGAAGGGGAGGTGAGGGGAAGTTGTGGAAAAAAAGTTACTGAAAATTTGGATTGTAAAGGTTGAATCTTTTTTTCTTTTCTTCTTCTTCTTGTTCTTTTTTCTTTTTTTGTTTTTTGTACTATTTGAAACTCTAATAAATATTATTTTTTAAAAAAGAAAAAAAGATGTTCAGATCTTTCTCTCTTAACCTCCCCCCACAACTGTGATGGATTTTTCTCCCCAGATTTTAGAATTCTAACCATGTAAAAACAACAGCAACCACCACCACAACAACAACAACAACAACAACACACACATGCACGCACAAACTAAGACTCTCTACATTCTTTTCATATGAAGTGATTTCTGATAGGAAACTACAAAAAAGTGAGGCTGTCACTGTGGAAGGCTCAGTGGGACACACAAGAACTTTCATTCAATTTATTCAGTTTATTTTACAATTTTGGGTCGTATCCAAGTCAGTACTTCTGCTATTGCCAGGATTTCCATTTCTGCAACACAACCGCCCCTCTCTCCTCTCCATATGCACCCACATCCTCCTCAGATCTGCTGTGTACTGTTGTGGGTGATGGAGAGAGAGTTTTGGAAGAGAGAGCCTTACTCTCTCGTAGCCGAGTTAACACAGTAGTGATTGATCTGAGCATATTGAAACCTTGTTAGATTTGCATCCGCTTTCATCCACCTCATCTCACACCCATCACCCACCCCATGCATGAGGATAGCAATGACAGTATACAGAAACTAAAATAGCTACATCTACAAATGAAATACAAAAAATAATCTATAACCATAAAGCCATTATAGAGTTGATTGAAATATATCATCATCTCATTGATTGAAATATATCATCATCTCTCACATATATATCTTATCTAAATCTTACATGATGGTTCTAAGTTTAATCAATTATCCATAGCTGATAAAGGAATCACCCTAGCCTCCCACTTATTAGCCTTGCATTCTCCAGTGTCCGTTGTATACTGAATCAAGTCCCACTACATAGCACTAAAATTCTGTGATAAATGTATTCTTTAACTCCCCCATTTTTAACTCTCCATGAATCTATTCAATTGATACTAGTAATAATGGTGTAATAGGTGTTCTTTTACTCCCATGAGATGTTGGGGTTGGATCTGCCCTTGGATCAAGTCTAAGTTCACATACAGCAGTGATTCACCAATTGGAGGTCCAAGGACCACCCACCCAGCGGCTCCATTACACCATTCACATAACAAAAACTGCCAAAGAGATATCCAAATGTTCAAAGGTAGAGGGGCCCATGGGTCTTGGCTTCTGAAGAAGAAGGGGTCTGTACTACTTAGCTAACTGGGAAGCACTGGCATACAGGCTTTAAGTTCCAACTCCAATGGCCGTTTGTGAACTTTACTCAATGCCTTTGCCAAAAAGGTTAAGTGATTAGTATTGGGTGCATCAATGGAGATGAACGCCATTGGGTTTTGTTCCAGGAGAAAGCGACCCTCTATTTATCCAGTCTTGGTAATAAATGCCAGACCAGCTCGCTGTTCTACTACCAAGCTGTGGATGAGTGAGATCTTACTCTGACCTTGTCAATCCATCAACACGGGTTGAAAGGGTTGTTAGATACTTAAAGGGAACCATGAACTATCTTAAATTGCCAGCTGACAGCAAAAACTATTAGGGATCTGTCAGGGCTTCTTCAGTTGTGATTCCTGCTTTGCAGGGGGTTGGACTAGACGACCCTTGGGGTCTCATCCAGCGCTAAATTTCTATGTGTCTATGATTCTATCCAAGAAAGTGAGCTTCATCTACCCTCCCTTACACACTTACTTCATCTGCTCCTATTATTTTAGGTTTGAGATTGCTGGTTATTCAGCTTGTTTAGCAGATAACTGCAGAAATACTTTCCTAAAGAGAGTGTTGCTCAGCTTTAGGTTCTTGCAAGTCCTTTTGAAGCTGAGCTAAGCAGCACAAAACATTTAGAATCATAGAATCATAGAGTTGGAAGAGACCACAAGGGCCATCGAGTCCAACCCCCTGCCAAGCAGGAAACACCATCAGAGCACTCCTGACATATGGTTGTCAAGCCTCTGCTGAAAGACCTCCAAAGAAGGAGACTCCACCACACTCCTTGGCAGCAAATTCCACTGTCGAACAGCTCTTACTGTCAGGAAGTTCTTCCTAATGTTTAGGTGGAATCTTCTTTCTTGTAGTTTGGCTCCATTGCTCCGTGTCCGCTTCTCTGGAGCAGCAGAAAACAACCTTTCTCCCTCCTCTATGTGACATCCTTTTATATATTTGAACATGGCTATCATATCACCCCTTAACCTCCTCTTCTCCAGGCTAAACATGCCCAGCTCCCGTAGCCGTTCCTCATAAGGCCTCGTTTCCAGGCCTTTGACCATTTTGGTTGCCCTCCTCTGGACACGTTCCAGTTTGTCAGTGTCCTTCTTGAACTGTGGTGCCTAGAACTGGACACAGTAAAATTTAAAACTCATCCTCTTTAAAATTTAAAATCATCCTCTTCCGAATCACCGCATTCACTAGGTTAGAGAAGCATTTGGAACACATGCCATTCTTCATAAACGTACGTGGTTTCAGGGCTCATTCCTGGGGTCCATCTCCATCTCCCTCCCTTGTCTTTAAAGAGTCCAATCCAAAAAAGCATTTTACGGCCTTTTACTTGCTGGTTTATAAAGAACTAGGGTAGGGGAAGGGAGAAAGAAAAAACAGAAAACCATCAGTAGGAGTGAGGAGCAAGGCACTTCTCTCAAAGCCCTTCTAGACAATGTCCCTTTCTCTGGGAGACTGCAGCCCTTGACCGACATTCAACAGGCACAAAACAAATACGTTTCAAAAGGAGCAGGTGTCACCACTGGAAGTCCAATACACATTTTTTTAAGAAGCAGTGATCAAAACTATACAGTGGTACCTTTGTTCTCAAATGCCTTGGTACTCAAACACCTTGGTTCCCAAACGCGAAAACCTGGAAGTAAGTGTTCCAGTTTCTGAACATTTTTCAGAAGCCGAATGTCCGATGCGGGTGTCTGGCTATTGTTCCCAGGGTGCCTGCACTAACCGGAAGAAGCTCCTTGGTTTTCAAACATTTCATAAGTCAAATGGACTTCCGGAATGGATTAAGTTTGGCGTTTTGGGTTTTGCTATTTATTTTGCCTTTTTGTATTTAGGCTTTTTTGCTTAATTTGTTTTTGTGACTGTGTGGAACCCAGTTCAGCTACTTGCTGATTGATTGATTGATTGATTGTGTGATTGTGGAAATGGTTAAAGGCATCCCATCCAAACAATGACTATCATCAGTGCAGGTAAGAGAAAAATAATAATTTTAATTTCCGTCATCTACGATGCTTCTTATTAATTTTACAGCACATTACATAGATTCTTGCTTTCATTTTATGGTCTCGTTAGATAGTAAAATTCATTTAAATTGCTGTTTTAGAGGATGCTTTTAAAAGGTTGGAATGGATTAATCTGTTTTGCATTGCTTTCTATGGGAAAGCATGCCTTGGTTTTGAAATGCTTTGGTTTTGGAACGGATTAAGTTTGAGAACCAAGGTAATAATAATAATAATAATAATAATAATAATAATAATAATAATAATAATTTATTATTTATACCCCGCCCATCTGGCTGGGTTTCCCCAGCCACTCTGGGCGGCTTCCAAAAGAATATTAAAATACTGTGATACATCAAACATTAAAAGCTTCCCTAAACAGGGCTGCCTTCAGATGTCTTCTAAAAGTCTGGTAGTTGTTGTTCTCTTTGACATCTGGTGGGAGGGCGTTCCACGGGGCGGGCGCCACTACCAAGAAGGCCCTCTGCCAGGTTCCCTATAACTTGGCTTCTCGCAGTGAGGGAACCGCCAGAAGGCCCTCGGAGCTGGACCTCAGTGTCTGGGTAGAACGATGGGGGTGGAGACGCTCCTTCAGGTATACTGAACCGAGGCCGTTTAGGGCTTTAAAGGTCAGCACCAGCACTTTGAATTGTGCTCGGAAACGTACTGGGAGCCAATGTAGGTCTTTCAAGACCGGTGTTATATGGTCTCGGCGGCCGTTCCCAGTCACCAGTCTGGCTGCTGCATTCTGGATTAGTTGTAGTTTCCGGGTCCCCTTCAAAGGTAGCCCCACGTAGAGCGCATTGCAGTAGTCCAAGCGGGAGATAACCAGAGCATGCACCACTCTGGCGAGGCAGTCCGCGGGCAGATAGGGTCTCAGCCTACGTACCAGATGGAGCTGGTACACAGCTGCCCTGGACACGGATTTAACCTGTGCCTCCATGGACAGCTGTGAGTCCAAAATGACTCCCAGGCTGCGCACCTGGTCCTTCAGGGGCACGGTTACCCCATTCAGGACCAGGGAATCCTCCACACCTGCCCGCCTCCTGTCCCCCAGAAACAGTACTTCTGTCTTGTCAGGATTCAATCTCAATCTGTTTGCCGCCATCCATCCTCCAACCGCCTCCAGACACTCACACAGGACCGTCACCGCCTTCACTGGTTCTGATTTGAAAGAAAGGTAGAGTGGGTATCATCCGCATACTGATGAACACCCAGCCCAAACCCCCTGATGATCTCTCCCAGCGGCTGCATGTAGATGTTGAAAAGCATAGGGGAGAGGACAGAACCCTGAAGCACCCCACAAGTGAGAGCCCAGGGGTCTGAACACTCATCCCCCACCACCACTTTCTGAACACGGCCCAGGAGGAAGGAGCGGAACCACTGTATGACAGTGGCCCCAGCTCCCAGCCCCTCAAGACGGTCCAGAAGGATGTTATGGTCGATGGTATCAAATGCCGCTGAGAGATCCAGCAGAACTAGGAAACAGCTCTCACCTTTGTCCCTAGCCCGCCGGAGATCATCAACCAGTGCGACCAAGGCAGTTTCAGTCCCGTGATGAGGCCTGAATCCCGATTGGAAGGGATCCAAATGGTCCGCTTCTTCCAGGCGTGCCTGGAGTTGTTCAGCAACCACTCGCTCAATCACCTTGCCCAAGAATGGAAGATTTGAGACTGGGCGATAGTTGGCCATCGTGGCCGCATCTAAAGATGGTTTTTTAAGAAGCGGTTTAATAACTGCCTCTTTCAACGGGTCTGGGAAGGCTCCCTCACGGAGGGAAGCATTCACCACCCCACGAAGCCCATCGCCCAGCCCTTCCCGGCTAGCTTTTATAAGCCAGGATGGGCAAGGATCCAGGAGACAGGTGGTTGGTTTCACTCGTCCAAGCAGCCTGTCCACATCCTCGGAGGTAACAGATTGGAATTGATCCCACGCAATTTGACTAGACAGGACTCTAGCACTCTCCCGCCCTGGCCCTGCTCCCACGGTGGCGTCTACCTCTTCCCGAATCTGAGCGACTTTATCTGCAAAAAACTTTGCAAAATCATTGCAGGAGATCATGTGGCCCGTACTGGGCCCCGATGTAGCAGGTGGTTCCGCTAAATTGCGGACCACCTGAAAAAGTCTCCTGCTGCTGTTTTCTGCAGATGCAATAGAGGCGGCGAAGAAAGCCTTCTTCGCTGTCGCTACCGCCACTTGGTAGGCTCGACACTGAGCTCTAACCTGTGTCCGGTCAGCTTCAGAATGGGTCATCCGCCACCAGCGCTCTAGCCGTCTCAACGATTGTTTCATTGCCCTCAGATCCGTGGAAAACCACGGGGCTGTCCAGGCTGCATGCAATCGGAGAGGGCGCTTCGGAGCCAGACAGTCGATAGCCCTGGTTAACTCCACATTCCAGCGGGCCACCAGGGAATCAGCTGAAAGGCCATCAACATGGGATAAAGCATCCCCTACCACTCTCTGGAAGCCATTTGGATCCATTAAGTGGCGGGGGCGGACCATCCGAATCGGTCCCACCTCCCTGCAGAGGGGAAGGGTCGCGGAGAAGTCCAGTTGCACCAGGAAGTGATCTGACCATGGCACTTCTTTTGTTTCGCTTTTATTTAGTGTCAGATCACCAACATCCATGGAGGTAAACACCAGGTCCAAGGCATGTCCGCGGCTATGGGTTGGGCCAAAGTTATTCAGGGACAGCCCCATGGAGGCCATGCTTTCCACGAAGTCCCGAGCGGCCCCTTGTAAGGTCGTGTCGGCATGGATATTAAAATCCCCTAGGACAACCAAACTAGGTGTCTCCAGGAGAACATCCGCCACGACCTGAAGCAGCTCGGGCAGGGAATCCTTGGTGCAGCGGGGAGGTCGGTACACCAAAAGGAATCCTGTACTGCCCCTATTGCCCAACTTCCAGAACATGCACTCAGAGAACTGGGTCTTCCTAACAGGACGCCTGGTGCAAACTAATGACTTCCTAAAAATCACTGCAACCCCCCCTCCCTGCCCACAAGGCCTGGGTTGCTGTGCGTAAGAGAAACCTGGTGGACAAGCAGCGGCAAGAACAGGCCCATCTGCTTCATCCAACCAAGTCTCTGTTACACAAGCCAGGTCAAATCCTCCATCCATGATCAAGTCATGGATGGCAGTGGTCTTATGAATCATTGACCTGGCATTGCACAGCAGCACCTTCAGGTTATGTGGGTCTCCCTTGCTGATTCTAGTATCCATCCGGACAGGACCAGACCCGGAGGCAGGGATAGTCCTCAGACAACGACTAAACCTGCCTCCTCTGTAATGACATGGTCTGGTCTTAGCGTAACTCCTCCTCCTACCCGTGATCACTGAGATCGGTTGTCCCAGCGCATCCCCCTCTGTGGAACATGCCCCAGCCATTTTGTTGGCTGCGACCCACTCCCCGGCAGCCCTGACCCTTCCCCTTAAGAACAAAATAAGACCTTAAAACAATAAAAACAAAAACAAACAAACAAACAAACAAAAAAATTCAGAAAACAAAAAGCAATACAAATGAAAAACTATAAAAATTACAAATCCATTAAAATCAAACAAATTCCCAACTAAACATCCATCCCACCCCCATCCCCGTCCCCACATATACAAAAAAATAAAAGGAAAAGGAAAATTTTAAAACATTTTAAAAGGAACTCTGCGCCCCACCGGATCCCCCTGGGCCGCAGCAGCAGTGACAGCAACCGTCCCTGTGAGTCCTGTCAGGCCCTGCCCTGGGCCAGATGGTGAGTGGCAGGAAGGAGCAGGGCCCTCAGACACTCACACAGGAGAGTCCTCCTGGGCAGCAGAGCGCAGCAGTCCCTGTGAGTCCTTCAGGCCCCGCCCTGGGCCAGGTGGTGAGTGGCAGGAAGGAGCAGGGCCCTCAGACACTCACACAGGAGAGCCCTCCTGGGCAGCAGAGCGCAGCAGTCCCTGTGAGTCCTTCAGGCCCCGCCCTGGGCCAGGTGGTGAGTGGCAGGAAGGAGCAGGGCCCTCAGACACTCACACAGGAGAGCCCTCCTGGGCAGCAGAATGCAGCAGTCCCTGTGAGTCCTTCAGGCCCTGCCCTGGGCCAGATGGTGAGTGGCAGGAAGGAGCAGGGCCCTCAGACACTCACACAGGAGCGTCCTCCTCTTTACATAGTACTCCAAGTAAGGTTGCATCAAGCACCAAGAATAATTGTGTACTGAGGATGTGCTATTGTCCCCCTGATCCAAATTATGATGATGCTGCTGCTGATGGAATCAAGGAAGCATCCCAAAGAGGAAATACTACAGTGAAGGGTAACTTCACCTGCCCTCACCCAGACTGGCTACATATGTCTTTCCATACGTATGTCTTTCATGAAACAGAGTTAAAATTTCCAGATACTGTAAATGACTGTGCCATAAAACAGTTTGTCTTGAAACCATCTAGCAGGAGAGTGACTGGTGTAGCAAACACTCCAATTTCTGCATCCATGCTTGCTTGTTGATTCCAGAGACACTGGAATCAGTCTGGTTGTGGTATGCTTGAAGGACTGATGATGGGGTCTCACTCATGTCTGTGCCCTGCAGCACCCCAGTAGCCCCTCTGCCTGGGCTAAGGGGCTGGGAGAGGGATATACCTTGCAAGGTCCTCTAGCGTCATCTCCATGATACTCTCATGTCAGAGGGTTAGGGTGGAGCAGAGGAAGACTCTACAGAGTAGAGGAAGAATTTACCGGCAAGCCAAGGGATAGATGCCCCTCAAGTATCTCCTCCTTCACCTCCTTCAAGACCTCCTTCCTGACTGCCAGCTTCATTCTATTAGAGCTCAGCATCTCCAAGAAACCTCAGTGAGTCCCAGATGGTAGCAGCTGCTCCCTGCCCCACCCACCCCTTGGCTTGACTGATGGAGTTGCTGTCTTGGCTGCATACAGGGGGATTGGAGCTTCTTAAATGGATAGTGATGATAAGAACCCTTTGACTCTAGGAGATCCCCTGCCTTTTCTATACGCGGCTTTGATGCTCACCTGTTCTTCCCTTGTTTCCACAGAAATGAGCCTGGCGCCCTCCTGCTCACAGTATTTTTTGGAATCCATCCATGAGCGTAGCTCAAGAGAAAAGAAATAGAATGTCCTTGAATATACAATCCAACCATCGTCCAAGTTCCTAGTAAGGATGTCTTTGAGTCAAGCCAGATATGGAGGAAGAAAAGAAAAAGAAAACCAGATAGGGAATTTAAGGGGACCAACTTTGTATTTCTGTGCGGACTTCAATTATTTTTGTTAAGTTCATTTCTGTGGCCACGTGATAACATACATTCATCTAGGAAGCTCAGAAAGATTAAAAAAGACCATTAACTCTTCACCCCATGCTGATGCTGCAGTAAATATCTGGGTGGGCATAGCTGGGAGTGCAGTCAAGAAGCTTTTATTCGAGGGAATAGACAAAAGATGTACGTCCCCTCACAGGCCTGATCTGAACCCCTGGGGCCTCACCTATTTGTTAAAAATCTGGATACTCAGGGCAGCATCAAGGCAGACTTGAAGGTTGGGGAGGGGAAGTAGCTGTGGCTTATCACAAAATCCTCTCTCCAGGCTCTCTGCTGGGGACAGGAATCTGGAGTGTGTGTTCCTGGCATTGGGCAACTGGGACAGAGGAGGGAGTCTGCTGGTTTATCACCCGCTTTGCTGCCCAGCAGTCTCCCTGCCTGAGCTGACAGGATGGATCTAGTGTGCTTCCAAAATGGCTCTGGGGGATTTTGGTGCTCCTGCCGAACTTTGGCCAAGCTATGGAACAACCTAATAATAATAAGTCACTCTGGGTGACTTCCAACAAATTAAAACACAGTTGTACACAAACCATTAAAAACTTCTCTGAACAAGGCTATTTTCAGTCAGATAGTTGTTTATTTCCTTGACATCTGGTGGGAGGTAGTGCCACAGAGCAGGCGCAGCTACCCAGAAGGCCCTCTGCCTTGCCTCGGGCAGTTGACACAATTGCCCCTGAGTGCCCTCTCCTGCTTCATGCAGCCTGTTTGGCCCCCTGGTCTACTGCAGAGGTGAAGAAAGAATCTGGGAGATGGTTTGAATGTGAGTGGAGGAAAATCTGGTTGAATGCAATCGACTACTGGTGAGGGCTCATCATCGAGCCCACCAAGTGGCAGTGAAGGCTACAAAGAAGACCTGCTCTGCTTCCTCCATTGTGCCATCCAGCAGAGCTTTCCCAGGTAGCGCGGGGCCTGCTACAGTCTGAGAGCAGCTTTCTGTGACTTGTTTGCAAAGCATTTAGAGGATAAAATTGCTTGCATCTTGACCCTGCTATTACAGCAGATGAATCTCAAAGGGTGTCCAGAGCAGAGTCGGTTTCCATTGTGCTGGTTGTGCCGTTGCACCAATCACCCCACTGCCCAGCAGTCTCTCTAAGTTGGCGGAAGTTGCCTTGAAAGTGCTGCTCAAGAATCCCTCTCCCGTGGGTCAGTATAAGAAAGGGCAGGTCTTTTAGCTGACTTGTCTCTATTATAACAAAGAATGGCAAAGTCTTTTCTTTCCTCACTGCAGAAGCTAAATCAGTTCCAAAGTTCAGGAGAGCTAAACTGAGCATCTCTGATGTTTCCCTAGGGTGGCAGCTCTCTGCTCTGGCTCTAAGAGTTTTCAGCTAGAGGAGGGGCTTTCAGCTGGTGCAGACTCAGGGCTGATTCCCACTGCACTACAATTTTCCAGCATCGTAGGGTAGCTTACCAATTTCCTTTTGCAGTTGATCATTTCTGTTGGCAAAATACCGCATTTCCTCTGATATGTTTTGAGCTGCAGCGAGTATTTGGAAGTCTAAAAGATTAGAAACGGTTTAAGGCAGGAGCATCTGAAATAACAATCTGCAAATCCTAAGAAACCACTTTCAAACATTTTGAAACGCTCTAGCCTAAAACGAGGAGCAGAGCTCCAGGACAGGGTTTTTATTAATATGAGGGCACATTTGATTCTCTGTGGCTGAGATCACCAACAGTGGCGTAGCGTGGGTTGTCAGCACCCGGGGCAAGGCAAGTAATTTGTGCCCCCTAACCCGTAGATTTGCGCCCCCTAACCCGTGGATTTGCCCTAACCCCCAGATGTTGCGCCCGGTGCGGCCGCCCCCCCCTGCACCCCCCACACTACGCCACTGATCACCAATGAAAAGTCTCTGGAGAATCCTGCGGCTGGATCAGACCAAAGACCCATGCAATCCACTATCCTATTCTCATATTAAAAGTGACTCATGAAGTATCTCTGATGTTCCCCTCCTACGTCCTCCTTTTCTGCTGGGAATCACAAAGCAATTCCTCCCTGAATCCCACAGTAGAGCCAAATATACAAAGAATACTTTGCAGTTTTCAATTATGCTTTGTGAGATCTAAGAAAATACAGGCACCCAAACTCTTTTTCTGATGAATATTGGGTTGCATTCCCTATAGTTCTAAAGAGGACGTTTTGTAAGCGCAGGAATTTCTCTTTGTGCAATGCAATCTTCAGCCCCCTTCCCTCCAATCTGTTCTGAAGTCCCCCGTCCCCCCCACCCCAGAGAGCAGCTTTGGTGATGACATGCAGGGAGAAGTGGGGGGAACGTTTCCCTTGTGCTAGTGCTAAAATCTTACACTAGCACAAACATTGTGAATTGCAGTGTGATGGGGGAGGACAGCATTTCTAGTGGGGAGGTGTGAGAATCACAACTGTCTGCTTTTCTTTCTGCTGAGCAATGAAACAGAGATAAACTCTATTGGGTGCTGAGTTTCATTGAATACATGTATGGCTCAAGCAATATGAACCCCAAATTTAACTACAGGAATTGAAATCTGTTTAAATGAAACCTGTCTTAGCAAAAGTGAGGATTTGTATATAAAATGCTTACCATCCTTGTCCATATAGTTTGAATCAATCCCAACCACAAAGGTTCGAATCATGTTCATTGCCACTTGGAACTCTGCTCTTTTTTCCACTTCCTTCTTATCTAAAAGGTAGAAAAGAAATGAAGAAAATGTGTTCTAGCCCACTAGTCTGATGAGCTGTGCAAGCGGGATACTTGGTTTCAAACTGCTATTAATATTTAATTTTAAATGCTGACTTGTAACAGGTCCCGGGTCCTTAGGGAGAAGGGCGAATAAAAAATCAAATCAACAAAAACAAGAATATGACTTCTATTAATATTTTCTGCTCCAAACCCTTATACTGAGGTTTCCTATGCCTTGATTGTGGCTGCCCTGGTGGTCTGGAGTCCTGTTTCCATGGCTGGCCTTCCTCAGAGAGCATTAGATTTTTGGTGTCTAGATACACCTGTCCTCTTTGTCCTACAGACTTGCATTTGCCAGGCTGCCTGATGCTCTCCCATATGCTTAAAATATGCAAATTCTTGGATCACTTGACTCCCTCTCCCCGAGCTTTGCTTACTTTAAAAGCGAATTCACTAGGCAAATAGGCCATGTGTTCATCTATCCAGTGCTATTTTTCTAGAAAAAGAGGCACTCAAACTCGCCATCAATGCCTCCCTTGTTCTCTTAGAATGGAAACATCACCCACCTGAGAGGGGCCGGAACTGAGTCCTGGTGAATTCCGGCTGACAAAAGCCCTGCATATATCTCGATATTTAGGTAGGCTCTGGATCCAGCCACATTAGCCATGGCCTTATCCTTTGCAGCCTGTTTTCCCCAAACACTTTCCTTGAAGGGACCTGAGCCCTAGCAGAGGGCAGGGCGCCGAGGACCAGAAATGGGGGCTCTCCCACAGCAAATGAGGATTAGTGGGGAAAGGAGGAGAGAATTGCAAGCAGGGAAAGGGAATTGTCCAGGGTGTCCCGGGGACTTGTGTTAGCCTATGCTTCTGTTCCAAGTGCTGGAACTCACTTATTCAGGGAGAACAAAACAGAGCCATTGCTCTCACTGGGTGACAGCTGTAACTCCCCCCCTGGTATGAAAGAGAGATGAAAGGGGTAAATGGAAGGTGGATCCTGCCATCTCTTTTTGGAAATGCTACTGGCATTAAAATAAAGCCCGTGTTATGAGTTGCTAAGTCCGCCAATTATGTACTTACATAGCATGTAAATCAGCAGCGTCATGGCAATAAGGATGAAAATCTCAACTATGATCAATCTTTCACCCGTTGGAGATTGGAAGAAAGTAACCAAGTCCCGAATAGCAGATGCTTGAAGAAAGAAAATCCTGCTTTAGCCATCAATAGCCAACATACCATTGCCACTCCAGGAAAAAGGGTTTCCATGTGCTGTGGAATCAATCAGCCAGAGACACTCAACTGTTCAGGGGGTGGGCACTTGGGAGGATAAAAGCAGGTGGAGGGAGCAAGGAGAGATGCCTTGCTGCTTGAGGAAACTTTTCTGACCAATGTCTGGATCAGAAGACAGGAGCCTTTGATACTACTTTCTGCCCCCCAGGCAAATGACAAGATGCTCCCTCCAAACACATAATTCCACATACACAAGCTGGGCTGGGCTGGCCATTGGCTCTTATCTCAATGTGGCTAATAAGGCAGCAGACTAACTGAGGAGGTGGCGTGCAGCTTGTGTGTGGTCTGCACATCTCTACCCACCCCAGACCTGCTACCTGAGGCAACTGCCTCATTCTGCCTATTTGTACAGCCATTCCTGACTGCACACACTAAAGGAACACAGCAGCCAGCAGCAAAGAGCAGGCTCACCCCTGGGGTTTCTATGGGGCTTAGTGGACCTCTGGCACCCAAAGAGCTGTGTGGGCTTTTCTCGGCACTCCTCTCTGGCACAACATGACTGGCTCCACTCCCTGCCCGTCTCCCCATCAACTTCCCTTTCCCGCGCATTCCTTTTCCCCTATGACTGTGCTGTATACAGACCACCAGTTTCATTTGCTTTTGCTCTACGCTTTCTGGACGCTGAAAACTTTGTGGGCGTTGGCTTCACCATCCTCTCAGATGTGTCTGTGAAAGAACAAACTATTATAACATGGAGGATAAGACCATGAACACATTGCTTGGATGCTGGGGTTTTTCCCTTCCAAGCTCAGAGTATAAGTCTCTTGTCAAGCATGAAAGTTCACAATATTCTCTTAAACTCCCCATTTCAAGAACATAATTTTTAAAATAGATGCATGTCTACAAATGTCAAGGATTTCATCGGTACAAAGTTGAAATGGGCAACAACTTCTGGCCAAAAATGGGTCTCAATGAGGCATTTCCAACATTAAACTTTGGCGTCTGTCAGGATCAGACAATCCTTTCCCATAAAGACATTGTTGAGTCCAATATGACTGAAATGTCTTTTTCTTTTGCTGGATCAATCTCCATTTTAAAAAGATGTTCCATATGGATTCAAAGGCATTTTAAAAAATGCTTTAGATAACATAGCTTTCTCATTTGCATCTTATTCCTCTCTAAGCTCCTGGGCATCTAGTTTATAGGACTTCAGTAAGCATTTGCAAGCAACAGTTATGGGTTTGATCCATCTTTTCTCTCTCTATCCATTTTATGGGGTAAATCAAATTTGGGGCAATCGTCTTTGTGGAAGAAACGGGTTGATTGTAAGATCTGTACACTAGATCAGCTGATAAATCAGATGGAGAATTTTTGGTTCTTTTTAAAATTGCAGCTGAAATCTCAGTTACTGATGTGTGCTGAAAAGAAATATCTTGCTTTGCAACATTTGTTGGTGTTTATTTATAGGCTATCTGCTTTGATACCAGCCCTCAGGCTGAAAGTGGCTTCCCCATTATACATTACCAGATGTTCACCACTTAATAGACTGTGTGGGATCTATGAGGTCTTCAGATGTTCCTGGGTGCCAACTCCTTCCATCACAGGCATCATGGTCAATGTTTGGGGATGACAGGAGTTGCAGACCAGTAACATCTGGAGGGCAACATGTTCCCCATTGTTGATGGAAGGTATATACATTTAATTATGGAATTACCTCCTGATCATCAGAAAAGATGGAGTACTAGATCTCATCTCACTTGGATGCATATAACTCCAATTGAGTCTAGCAAGACTTTGGAGACCATCAGTTGGACCTGGAAAAGAAGCAGAGAGAAGCTGCTACCCTGGCTCTCCAAGTGTGCCATTTTGTTTTCTTTTTGCAAAGACCCAGCCTGACATCTGGTGCTGTGGCAGAAAGGAAGGAAGGAAGGAAGGAAGGAAGGAAGGAAGGAAGGAAGGAAGGAAGGAGGCTGTTGTCTAATCCCGTTTTGAAGCCATCTGAGCTAGCAGCCCTTGATATGCCAGCAAATGGGTTTCCCAAAGACTTGTATTTTCTGGATCATGATCTAGATCTGGATTGACAAACTGGGCCCATGAATCAGAGCAGGGCACCTGTATTGCCAGGGAATAAAACAGAATGTGGTGCTCCTGGTTTGCGATGGAGTTGTAGCTTTAAGGTAAGGAACGTGGCTGTTTGAGAAGAAGTGAAAACAACTTCATGGCTTGGCCGGCTATCAAACACCTGCCTGCATGGGGGAAGGAAGGGAGGAAGGAAGGAGGAGCCAGTTGTCTGGGAACAAGGAAACTAGCCTTATTTTGACTGCAGAGATAAAGAATGCAAATGAAGGCTCTTGCCCACACTTGTCGACTCCCAGGCCAGATCAAAGGATGGGAATGGGATTACATCATTAATTACATCTGTTGCCAGCTTATAATAATTTATTATTTGTACCCCGCCCATCTGGCTGGGTTTCCCCAGCCACTCTGGGCGGCTTCCAACAAAGATGAAAAATATCACACATTAAAAACTTACCTGAACAGGTAAGGGCTGCCTTCAGAGAACAGGGCTTGGCATGAGACTTTCACTATGGACTATATAATGGCCAGCAGCTGAAGGAGACAGTGAGATCTTGATACATTATTCTATGCTCCATTCCAGAATGTGAAGAGAAAGACTGTCTGCCAGTCTGAAGCCTTCCAGATCTCCATCGGCTGGGGAGACATGAAGAACTGAACCTATTCTATCCCTATTATTATTATTGTTTCCCAAGAACTTTTGCTTATTGGTTATATTGCTAGCTTTGTAGTTTATTCCAGTTGCTGCTGGCTTTACATTAGACTCTGTCCTACGTTGCTGATCAATTTCTTTGCTAATGTTAACCAATTAATAAAAGTTTGTCGCTACCTAAGAGTCTGTCAGTCCTCCGTCCAACCTCTCGCTTGCCTGGTGGTTGCCATTGGCCAAACAGCCATTAGGGGGCGCTGCCCAGGCAGCACCTGTACACAGTCCTAGAATGTTCCACCACTCAGTTTCATGGGATGACCCTGAGTTCTAGTATTTAAAAGAGAAAGGCCACCTGTAATTTAAAAAAGTTTCCTATCATTTCCCCTCTTAGTGACCTTTTGGCCCTGGAATGAGACCCTGCAAATATCATAGCTTGTAATGAAAGTGTTAAACCCACCTCGCCTCTTTCTGTTTTGATAACTTGTTGTTGTCATGGAACAATCTTTTCTCTACTTTCTTCATAAGGTTGTTTCACCTTCCCACTGGCTAAGAACCACCTCCCTTGTGACGTCAGGGATTCCAGAACTCCTCCCATTTAGTCTATACCATTTCTTGATTGGCTCCTCATCATATCCAATAAGCATTTGTTATACCACCTATTTTTTCAAATGATTTTACATTTTATTTTTTATTTAGGTCGGGTACATACAGTACCTTCAAAGCATACCCCTCAGAAGAATCCTTACTCCTCATAAACTCTGCTAGTAATATTGGAAAGCTTCCTATCTCAGCACTTGTACCAGGAAATATGACAAAGCGCATTAGTATAAATCTTCATTTGCAAAGTTAAAGCACGAAGAAAAGGAACAGACGCAGTCAAATTTCAATATGTTTGGTTTACATTTATTGAATGTATCATCATCAAAACAAACATGCCACCAATGCTCTTTTTCCAGAAAAAAGGGTGCCAGAACTGACTCTTATAATGGTGTCCACCTGAGAGGTGTCAGAACTGAGCCCTGCCCTGCATGCAACTGACCTTCAAGAGAGGGTCACTCATGGAGAACTGTACTTGGATTGAAAGATAGATCTGCAGAAACTCAGAATTGGACTCTGCTAATAACAAGGCCAGTGGAAGTGATGATATTCCATCTGAACTCTTTAAAATTTTAAAAGATGATGCTGTTAAGGTGCTACACTCAATGTGCCAGCAAGTTTGGAAAACTCAGCAGTGGCCAGAGGATTGGAGAAGATCAGTCTACATCCCAATCCCAATCCCAAAAAAGGGCAGTGCCAAAGAATGCTGCAACTACCGCACAATTGCACTCATTTCACACGCTAGCAAGGTTATGCTTAAAATTCTACAAGGCAGGCTCAAGCAGTATGTGGATCGAGAACTCCCAGAAGTGCAAGCTGGATTTAGAAGAGGCAGAGGAACCAGGGACCAAATTGCAAACATGCGCTGGATTATGGAGAAAGCTAGAGAGTTCCAGAAAGACATCTACTTCTGCTTCATTGACTATGCAAAAGCCTTTGACAGTGTCGACCACAGCAAACTATGGCAAGTTCTTAAAGAAATGGGAGTGCCTGATCACCTCATCTGTCTCCTGAGAAATCTCTATGTGGGACAAGAAGAACTGGATATGGAACAACTGATTGGTTCAAAATTGGGAAAGGAGTACGGCAAGGCTGTATATTGTCTCCCTGCTTATTTAACTTTTATGCAGGATTCATCATGCGAAAGGCTGGGCTGGATGAATCCCAAGCCGGAATTAAGATTGCCGGAAGAAATATCAACAACCTCAGATATGCAGATGACACAACCTTGATGGCAGAAAGTGAGGAGGAATTAAAGAACCTTTTAATGAGGGTGAAAGAGGAGAGCGCAAAATATGGTCTGAAGCTCAACATCAAAAAAACGAAGATCATGGCCACTGGGCCCATCACCTCCTGGCAAATAGAAGGGCAAGAAATGGAGGCAGTGACAGATTTTACTTTCTTGGGCTCCATGATCACTGCAGATGGTGACAGCAGCCATGAAATTAAAAGATGCCTGCTCCTTGGGAAAAAGGCGATGGCAAACCTAGACAGCATCTTAAAAAGCAGAGACATCACCATGCCAACAAAGGTCCGTATAGTGAAAACCATGGTTTTCCCAGTAGTGATGTATGGAAGTGAGAGCTGGACCATCAAGAAGGCTGATTGCCGGAGAATTGATGCTTTTGAATTATGGTGCTGGAGGAGACTCTTGAGAGTCCCATGGACTGCAAGAAGATCAGACCTCTCCATTCTGAAGGAAATCAGCCCTGAGTGCTCACTGGAAGGACAGATCCTGAAGCTGCGGCTCCAAGACTTTGGTCACCTCATAACAAGAGAAGACTCCTTGGAAAAGACCCTGATGTTGGGAAAGATGGAGGGCACAAGGAGAAGGGGACGACAGAGAATGAGATGGTTGGATGGTGTTCTTGAAGCTACCAGCATGAGTTTGACCAAACTACGGGAGGCAGTGGAAGACAGGAGGGCCTGGCGTTCTCTGGTCCAGGGGGTCACAAAGAGGCGGACACTACGAAACGACTAAACAACAACAACAACAAACAACGCTCCAGTCTGGGCTGCGCTGCTCCTCCGCTTCCTGGCCAAGGGACCGAGGGAGATGCTCAGAGCCCAGCCAAGAGCCAAAGGCCCCCCAAAAAGGGATCGAGGGAGATGCTCAGAGCCCAGCCAAGAGCCAAAGGCCCCCCCCAAAGGGACCGAGGGAGATGCTCAGAGCCCAGCCAAGAGCCAAAGGCCCCCCCCCAAAGGGACCGAGGGAGATGCTCAAAGCCCAGCCAAGTGCCAGAGGCCCCCCAAAAAGGGACCGAGGGAGATGCTCAGAGCCCAGCCAAGAGCCAAAGGCCCCCCAAAAAAAGGGACTGAGGGAGATGCTCAGAGCCCAGCCAAGAGCCAAAGGCCCCCCCCAAAGGGACGAGGGAGATGCTCAGAGCCCAGCCAAGAGCCAAAGCCCCCCCCAAAAGGGACCGAGGGAGATGCTCAGAGCCCAGCCAAGAGCCAAAGCCCCCCCAAAAGGGACCGAGGGAGATGCTCAGAGCCCAGCCAAGAGCCAAAGGCCCCCCCCAAAAGGGACCGAGGGAGATGCTCA